CTTACCCAAGCCGCTGTGTGTTCTGTTTTTCTTGTCTAAATCGTGAGGACAAATAATATCTCCTTTAAGGTCATCAAAGTTGATGTGACCCCAACAACAGCTCTTCTCATCAACGAGTCTGACGGTTTTCTTTTGTTTTGACTTATTTGAAAAATTTGCATTCAGGTGGTGTGCACACGTATAAATCTAAATATAGAACTACTTTAGAAAAGTTGGAATTCATATCACAAATAAGAAATACATAATTTGAGCTCAAGGAAAAATGGTCAACAGACCTCTAAAAATTTTCGTTTTGCTCATATACCACTATACTAAATGGTCATAATCTCCACAATTATGACCATTTTCGAGGAAATAATAAACTCTACTTTGAATTAGCGCCTGACTACTCCCAGATAAACACACATGAATACATGACTAACCGAGTACGCTGTTTACTTGTAAGGATGTCTCATATTTAGCACTTCCCCTGGGAGATCAAGTCACAGAAAGGGTGATAGACATCTTCCTTTCCCAACCTGCTTGTGCTGGTTAACCAAAGAAACTTGAGCGAAAACGTTTTGTTCGTATTTATTGCAACTGTCTTCCTTTTGCAAGCCCATCCCTATAGCTTTTCGAATCGAGTGCTTTATTCACTTATTATAAGCATTAACGAGGCTACATTAAGATTTTCCAGACAAAGGTTATGTAATCTCTCCTCTATCAAGCACCAAGAGATTAAACAAAGCTTAAAAATATCTTTTTGGCACTTTATGTGTCATTGGATGTGAACAACTGCCTTTATTCGTGCAAACATATAAACTTTCAATCACAAGTGACTTCTCGAGCAAAGAAGAATTATCAGAAACCTTTGCAAACTTCTTACTTCTACACAAACGTCAACAGTTACGCAAAAAATCTTCAGCCTGCCACAGCTAACCTCTTACATCAATACGATTCACTAGTTACAGTAAGATTTTATAGGGAAGAGCTCAGACTTCATCACTTGATTTGCTTTAAAACCGAAAGTGAATTTGTGGAATTTATAATCAGTCAAGTGTTTGTGTTTGCCTAGTTGAAAAAGCCTTGGAAACATTTTATTTTCTGTAGACGACCTTGGGTTTGGCGTTAGGTTAATGTGATATTTGAGGGTTAAAACTAAACTATTTTGTCCGCAACATAAAATGATATTTATATCAAAAGAGAATTATTGGATGTCTCTGTGCGCGAGAACGTTTGTTAAGCTAAATAATATGTATTAGTAAATTTTAAAGTCCTTCTGTATAATAACTCAAGATTAAGCATTGCAAGAGTCAAATAAAACATCGATATTCCACTATTCTGGAACCTGTTTTGGAAGCAGTTACTCAAAACTGACTTCAATATCTAATCCCGAACAGAATCTACAAAGAGTTTTTACAGATATGGATTTTGTAAAGCAAATATTAAGAAAAGGAAATATGATGCGATTGCTACCATCTAAAGCAATCGACCGTCCTTATCATCGCATTAAACCGACCTTACGATTGTATGATATGATTATAGCCTTCTCAGTCACGTGCATAAAACTATTTCATATTCGGATTTTCAACAAGAAAAAAAAAACACAGTGAATGTGCCCATCTACGATAGCACAAAGAAAGTGCTATGCTACGTCAAAAGCTGTTTCACCGTACTTTCAAGGGGAATTGACTTGATAAGTTATTTTTTAAAGCCGCTTTCTCTTCAGTTTTTCTCTTCTAAATCGTGTGGACAAATAATATCTCCTCTAAGGTCATCAAAGTTGATGTGACCCCAACAACAATCACTCTTGTCAACAAGTCTGACTTGGGCGTATTGACCAATAAACTCCTCTACGTCCCAGCTCTTACGGTACATTGTCTCCCAACAGTTTCCTGTCGCTTTTCTGACGACCTGAACGTGACGACAAACATAAAAAGTTTTTAAACCTTTTTTTCGACGATTACTGACATATCTAACATGACTATATCATACATTAATTTACTTGCAATGCTTTAATCTTAGGGGGAAAATGCTATTTCGAAGGAGGGTAAGCCAAAAACTGAACTAAAAAAGTGAAAAGTGGAGAGCCAGACTCCAAATTGGTTATCTCGCGGACTCTCCCCTAAGTTAGTTCAAAATAAGCCATTTCTAGGTAAAAAAATATTTGGAAAGTAAACCCAAACGCTTTCGACACTTGGTTGTCATCAGGGTCATCATCACTTACGCAGCTGATGACCAAGGGTCGAAAATGTTGAGATTTTACTTTTTAAATATATTTTTTCCCTGTAAATATATCATTTTAAACCTAAGCGAACTTTATGGATATCACGAAGCTCAAAATGGTTTCGCAATTTTGCAAGCCAAATCTGTGATACCTTGATCAATCAAGTAAGTTGTTTTAAAAGAATCAAAAGATAAATAATAGTCAAAGTGAATAATCTCACTTGGTTGTTGACAATAAGCTCCGCACGAACTTTATTTACTTTACATCCCCCACCAATGAGAAACGAGATACTCTTGCCAACGATACGAAAACAAGGTGAGGTGAGGGTTCCTAGGGGTACGTCTGCTTCATCTGGATGCTGCTCACCTGCGGGATCGCTCTCACTAGTCCGTTTCTCAGCTCCCCCCACCCACCAGTTCCCTTGCAGCTGGGCGCTTTCTCTTTTGCGCGCGACTGGATTGTCACCAAATGTTGGCTGGTAAATGAAAGCTCTGCCTGTCATTTTCCACCTGCCGATTCCATCTTCAAAGTCAAGGCTGCAGGCTACATAAAAAAAAAAACAACAACAACAACAACAACAAAAAACACAGAAAGTTTCATCCTGCCGATGATTATCATTCGGTACTCATTCCACTTTACAGTTTTGTGTTTAATTACCTTTCTCGCAGTGTACACCAGTGAATCCTAAAGGACATTTACAACGAAATCCTTTATCAGTGTATCCAGCTCGACATGTGCCATTGTTGAAACAGGGACTGCTACTACAGGGATTCTGTTGAAGAAAAAATGACCTCGTATCATAAACATCCATGGCTAGTTTAGTTTCCCGGGTTATCATGTAATCTCAAAGGGACACATTCTTGTTGGAACGATAACTTCTCGTGGCTTTTTGACAAAGTAAGAGCGGGCAAGAAATAATTACACTTTATCTGTCATTAGACCAACAACAATTGTTCATTGTCTAAATAAGTCACTTTACCTCGATACTGAGATGGCTATAATCTTCCTTACTCTGAAGGTAGGACGAGCCTGGAATTTCGTCTGAAGCATTGTTCAACTCACAAATGTAGTTCCCTCCTTTGGCTTGTGAAGGCCCAACATTTATGGACACACAACTTGGCTCCATATAACACAGCACATTACAGCTGCCTTGATGGGGCACCTCTTCAAGCCTGATCAAGTGACCCTTTATGACTTTGTCCTGTATGGGTTCTTTGAAAACAATGGATCGGCATTCTTCACCTATTTGGTTTGCAAATGACAAAACAAGTTCAAGCACAGTTTTGGTTTAGAATAAGATAATGTCAGGGTAACATCCTTAACAAATTAATTTGCCTCGAGAAACACTGGATAATGGTTTGTTGCTGCCTTATTGTGCTCTGAGAGGTTTCCCTGCAACGTTATCCTAGGAGTTTGAAACTTCTGCATGTCAGCTTTGTACTGAAGAAAGAACTTGTCTTAGCAGGTATATCTGTGATTTCACCGTTAGATTTTGAATGTACACTGAACCAAGTTTTAAAAACCAGAGGTGAGCCACTCGTCAAAGAAGAAAGCAATTAATCTACATTCCTTCTATAGTCGATCTTGGCAGAAAGAACTATGCTATGCTCTATGTGTCGGTTCATAAGTCTACTGGAAATTGAACCACTGCGTCGAGTTTTGCCAACAGCGACACTAATGGGTATTTTTCATTGAGAAGATGTAACAATTATAATTGACATTAATGTTCACAGAACTCTCCTATAACTAGACAAAGCAAATCTATCGTTTACAAATTGCAAAATTGACTTACCGGAACATTCAGAGGAAATCGGAATAATGATACCGCTTTGAAAGAAGAAGCTTAAAATTAAAACGGCAGCTTCGAGTTTCGTTCTGCACGTTTCTGCCATTCGTTTGTTTTCTAGGATAAGAAGTTACCAGCCAAGTCTTGAAACAGTAGTTTGCATTATTTTAACAACAACTATCTCTATCCTGCGTGAGGAGGAAAATTGCTGTATATGCCAATGTGTTTACGAAATGTTCGAAAACTTGAACTGACTGCAGTTGGCTTGTTCAACAGGATGTTTTCAAGGAGATATTCGCGCTGTTGTCCGTGGCTAAGACAGGTGCTGCTTCAAATATTGTGGTTTATGTACGATTCTGGTCACAAAGATGCCAGCGGGGAATATCCAGTAGCTATTTAGCCAATAAGACGAAAGCAAGGAGTAAAACAATTTTATTACCTTCAAAATAGCTCTATTGAGGATCCGTGAACACCATTTTCTGTTATTTTATCGCATGAGAGGTAGGATGTTAAGCTCAAATGCGGCTGTTTCTCTAAATACAGTATCATTCCACAAAACATATAACATTATGGCATAGCGTCACGTACCAAAGTTAAATAGCGGCTTATCTCTTAATGATGTTCCAAGCTATTATTCCGATTGAAAGACGAAGATTTCCCAATGTAAAACAAGAACTCTTTATTTTGACGGGCAATTTTAGCAAAGGCTAACAACAAACTTCTTGGAAATACTCAAGTATGTAATTAATGACTCACCGTTAAGTTAGTATGATGACATACCGTTGACAGCAAGGCTTTTCACGATCACGAATTTGTCGAGTCGACAAAATAAAAATTAGCGAGAGCAGGTGTCTTGCGGCGTTTTACTTGAGGCTAGATTTAGAATGCGAAATGATAATGCAAGTAAAGCAAACGTCACTTTTACAGGAGCTGTTGACTATTATCAAGCGACGAAACTTCTGTGCATGAACGAGCCATATTGAAAAGCGTTGGAAGCGTTAGAAGCGTATTAAATCGAAGTGTTGCTTCTCAAACCCTTATGATCAGGTAGATTAATTTGCATAGATTCTTGTATAATCTAGCGTAAGAAAGTCGCTTTCTATTGGTTTAACAGAAGTTTCATATGCATGGGGCAATAAAGCAGCTAAAAAACAACTTCCAATAAAGAAATGTCCCTTGTTAACATGGGAAATATTTTCTAGTTTAGAACTGTACCAGTTCTGCAGCTCCGCGCTTCAACACGCACTTCAAAGTTTGCGTCGTTTCTCTTTAAGGTAACTGTTGAGACACGAATAATTGCGTGACCGTGGCACGTTGTGTTACCCGAGTTAACAGTTTAAAACATGTTATATGAGATTTTCCATTTTTTAGCCTTTTTTGAAATCTGACGATAAAAACATTTCTTAAAATCATTTTAAGATTAAAAAATTGCCAAAAGACGACGTTTCGACGTTAGCTAAACGTCGTTATTAAGTCAAAATATGTTTGTGAGTTCCAGTCTATAAGTTCTTTAAAATCAATACCTGATTAAAAGCTGTAACGTGAGTAAAAGATGATTACAAATATTAAACAAAAATTTTCGCACGTATGGAGTCCGTCTGGATATTTAAATTAGGCTTCATTAAGATTCTTGATGAAGAGCATTTCAAATACGAAAGAATCGAATTTGCCCTGGCACTTTCTTAAAATTTTGATTTGGTTTTCTTTCAAGAAGTTGTTGTTACCGTGAGTTTCTATGAAACGTCCACCGATTGCCGAATTTTTTGTGTTCAGCAATGCGTTGCATTAATGAAGGTGTCGGGCTGTGTATCCGACATAATCTTCATCGCACAGATCACGTGAAAAAAGATAAACAACACACTGCCTATTAACAAAGTCACACTGATAAACGCTATAAAGACTCTTCATTAAAGACAATGATGCATCGTGCTTATGCATTGTCGTCCACAACAGAAGCTTTCAATGCAGAATGCGCTAAGTTGCGCTCTCTATTTAGTCACCTTGACTCTTCGATGAGTCTTGTTGATTCTGCTATCAACAATTTTCTTTTTTGAAATACTACATCCTAAGGTGCATGTAATGGCGGTCTCGTTTTATTATGCTCTCGTTTTTCCTTTCCTGTTTGCTTCCCTTTTTCACTCTTGGCTCTCATGCTACCCTGAACTGGGAGATGATTAGTCTCCACGTGACTCGTTCTTGGGAAAAAACATCAAGCCGCCACCTGAATCTGGCCTGGAAGCGTTTTACTCTAGTACAAGTCCAAATCGCCGCCTAGCCGCCATTTTGGGCTCGCCAAGAAAGGTTACGACGACAAGAGTATTTTTCTTCCTCCTTCTCCTAGGCAGAGATATTCATCTAAACCCAGGCCCGATAAAGTTCCCTTGTGGAATTTGTGGCAAAAATGTTAAGATAAACTAGAGGGGCATGTTGTAATATTGCCGTTCTGTTGTTAAGGCTGGGCTCCCTGTGCCCTGCCCACATTTTGCATGACCAGCGGTTTCACTTTATGGCTATTTATTATCGTAACCGACATCTTGTATTTAGTCTTTAGTTAGGTTCTAAGTGAAGTAAGGCCTATTAAAGGTTCGAATTCAACAATTTACTTCACTTAATTCTCATATCAGCAACATGGAAACCCTGCTAAAGCCACAACGTCTCGACTTGGATCCGAATTCGCCGTCAGCATCGAAAGAATGGAAGCATTGGCTCCAGACATCAGACGTCAAAACCCTGGGGAGTCACTCTCCGAGTTTCTACAGGAACTTCGGAGGTTAAGTACGGATTGCAATGTAAAGAACGTGACCGCCGAACAATACAGAGAAGAACTGATTCGTGACTCTTTTATCAATGGTCTGCTATCTCCATTAATCCGACAACGACTTCTGGAGAATAGACAACTTGACCTGAAGTCTGCATTCGACCAAGCTAGCGCGTTGGACTTAGCCCAGAAGAATTCCGAAGCTTATGTAATACCTGGCAGTTCAGCGGCGTTAATTTCGGCTCTCGAAAATAGTGCTGGAATGTCCACACCAAACGATAATCACATGACTGCTGCTGTCAGTCCCTCAAGGAAATGCTATTTCTGCGGAGGCCCTCTTCATAATAGGAAAGACTGCCCTGCACGTAACTGTACCTGTACCAACTGTGATAAAAGTGGTCACTATGCTAAAGTATGCCAGTCAAGAATAAATAAAACAACGGCTTCAATAATCTCACCATCTCTCTGCTCAATAAGCGCTGCTTGCCCACAAAGTCTCACGCAAGCATCCCTTAAGGCCACTATCTGTGATGTCACTCTGACTGCTCTCGTTGACTCTGGGAGCTCAGACAGCTACATAAATGAAAAGGTGGCTACGCAAATGGATCTTGAGTTACATCAGTCTGATCAGGACCTATCTATGGCTCTCACCTCTCTCACAACGAAAGTCCTTGGCCACTGTTATGTAAATATCAAGATAGGCCACCAATTCTACCCATCTGTGCGCCTGGGGGTACTAAAGGATCTCTGCAGTGATATCATCCTCGGCCAGGATTTCCAAANACAAGCCTCGGCACAAAGCCCTCCAGTCATCGTGCCAACTGTTAATGAACCACAGTGCCCTGCTCCGATACCTTTGGACCAACAACCAACTGAAAGCAAAGATTTGCCAACTGAGTGCCAAGATGGAGCAGTTAATCATGATTCGGTCACGCCACCTGCTGTAAGACGCTCCACTCGTGTGATTAAGCCACCATCCCGGTATGGATGGTAGAACACTGCCGACTATAAGCTTAGAACATTGAACACTGCCTCCCCCTGTTAGTTAGCTACGTTTTAAGGGAGGGAGAATGTTGTAATATTGCCGTTCTGTTGTTAAGGCTGGGCTCCCTGTGCCCTGCCCGCATTTTGCATGACCAGCGGTTTCACTTTATGGCTATTTATTATCGTAACCGCCATCTTGTATTTAGTCTTTAGTTAGGTTCTAAGTGAAGTAAGGCCTATTAAAGGTTCGAATTCAACAGGGCATTTGCTGTGATTCGTGCGAGCGATGGTATCACACTCGTTGTTGTCTAATTGGCGATCATATGTACGATATCCTGGCAAATTCGTCGTGTTTGTGGATATGTTGCGGATGCGGGCTACCGAACTTCTCTGATTCACTATTTAACTCGTCCATGGAAAGTAACCTTAATAATAACTCCTTCTCTTCGCTTTCATCCATCGATTCAAACCTGTCAGATCATTTCACTCCCAACTCGAAGAATGATTATATCTCTTCTCGACGAGGGAGAGAACTAACTTGAGAAAACTGAAAGTTTTAAATCTCAATTGCAAAAGTAACAAGAGTCAACAAAAAGTGGCCTCTTCAAAGCTAAGGTCGAGGACGAGAAACTTCATATTATCATAGGAACTGCGGAATCTAAACTTGATGAGTCAATCAAAAACTCTGAGGTCCTCCCCTGCGACTACGATATATTTCGTAACGAATCGATGTCAATCCTGGAGGTGGGGTTTTTATCGCTGACCATAATTCTATTATTACAACACGTCAAGCCCAACTTGATTGTCAAGCTGAAGGTCTATGGATCAAGATTGAAATGGCTAATCAGAAGCCCTGTATATAGCTTCTTTTAATCGTCCACCAGGAAGCGACGCACAACCACTTCATGCTCTCAACCATCCATTGGATTGTTTGCATGCTAATGGATCCTTTCCTAGAATTATCATTGCTGGTGACATGAATGTTCCTGACATAGATTGGTCCAATAATACTGTAAAGAATGATGCACAATATGGTGTTTTAGTGAGTTAGACATTCCTCGACATTATTGACGATCATGGTCTCACTCAACTTGTGTCCTTTCCTACAAGGCAGGCATCCGTGCTTGACTTAGTGGTTACCAGCCATCCAGATCTGGTGAGCAACTTAATGAGTTCTGATGGCATCAATGGTATTAATGATCACGTCGCTGTGACCATTGAGTTTAATCTTACAGTCAAAATTAGCAAGAAGAAACCTAGAACAGTATACAAGTTTGTTAAGCAAATCTTGAGGATATACGCCATGATGCAGAAACCCTCTGTAAGAACTTCTTCAAAAGAGACCCAGAGAATATAAGCGTCGAGGATAACTGGCAGTTCTTCAAGTCAGGATTATTGTCAATTCTCCATAGTAGAGTCCCAAAAAAAAAAAGATCGGATCATGAATGATTCCCCTTGGATTACTAGGGATCCCAAGAAACTATTGAGAAAAAAGAAGAGGCTTAATTTATAACATCTATAAGAAATCAGGGAAAGCTAATGATAAGCTGAAATATCGGAGTTTCCATAAAGCATTATAAACCTATTTAGATCAGCGCCAGATCAATACATAGCAAATACTCTTCATAGTGCCATGAAGGAGAAACCAAAGAAATTTTGGTCCTATGTTAAATCTAAAAAACAGGATCAAATTGGCATTCCTCCATTATATGCTAATGGTAAAGTGTTGACTGACAGTACAAGTAAAGCTGAAGCTTTAATCAAACATTTTCAACAGATTTTCACTGAAGAGGATTCTCCCTCCATGCTGAACATAGGCTGCAGTGACATTCCAGGTAGGGAGTCAATAATTTTTAACAGAGAGGGTATAAATAATTTTCTTAGGAACTTAGATAGCAAGAAAGCCAATGGCCCAGATAAATCGCCCACTACTCTACTTAAGATAACTGCATCTGATTCGCTCCTATGGTTGAAGGGGCTACTTATTCTGAAGATTAGCACACCAGGGATCAACGTTTTCAGGTTTTATTTGTACTAGAGTGAGACACGGCTCACTACATCCGTGGTTACGTCGTAGTCAACTGAAAATTAAATAATTTCGGGATACATTATTATCTACAATATTCTTAGTCGAAGCGATAAACGGTTTCGTAACTTACAATTTGTGTTTCTGCGTGGTCGGATCCCTTGATTCGCTATCTCGATGCTTTATCTTGAGGTTTGCGTTTTTACGACCGTTGATGACCAGCTTCGAATGTTGTTACAGCATAAA